CACTGTTACTATCATCGTCCATCACCGTCATTATCATCACCACCATTACCATCATCACCACCATCTTCCACACTGACAACCCTGGTCACCACCACACCACTATGTCAGCTATAAATGGTAACCCCAACCTTATTTTTTAGACCAACTTACTTGAAATCACTATATCATTAAACTACAAAAAATTCTGCTGCTTGGGGCCCAAACAGTTATCTTTCTAACCACACATTTTAATGAAATATAGATAAGTAAACATCATTTTTGAACACTCTTGATTAAGGCAAATGCATTCCTGTAATTTCCAACAATGTTCTCCAGGCTCAGAACACAACAATTATGCTTTTTTTCCCCAACCCTGAAACCAAGCATATTATAAAGATGTCCTGCCACCCCACCTCCAGATCACTTGAGCACTCTGGAGTAAGATGGTAGGATGAAGAGGGAACTCCTTACAAAACAAAATTATCCACCAGTTCACTGCAACAGCCAAACCCGTAAAATAAAACTCCTTAGTAACACTGATGAACTGCCACCTCCTGTTGGTAAAGTTCCATATGCTTTCACTCTGTTCAGTGTGTGTGCGAACGGCTGTACTTTTTTATCTAGAATCTCTCTGGGAGCATGCATTTTTGGTTTGAAACAAGTATAGCCATTCCACATTTCCCTTTCCTGATAAAGGAACTAAAGCTCAACATTAAAATGAAAAACTAATTTGCTTCTTTCTCCCTGTTCACAGTCTCCGTGGGTCGGGGGTGGGCAACACTCCATACACTGCTCTCTCAACCTGGAGCTCCCCAAATTACACTAAAATAATGCTGACATCACAGGGAAGTTAGACAAGGGGTCATCTTGTGTATTGCATGGAGCTGGGAAAAAAAAAAAAACATGACTCAAGTCCATGAATTTCCTGATAGAAAATTTTTCACATGCCACTTGGACTTTGGCTATTCTACAAAGGGACCCACAACACTTGTGTCCTTTATGATAAGCAGAGTGCAAACAAATGTCATGTACTAATAAAGATTTCATCTAGATTTGGCTTGCAGGAAAAAAGATTTCATGTTGCCATCATTCTCTATTTGTAACGAAACCCCTAGCCACTCAGAGCTGTCCCTTCCTCTTGCTCTAGTGCACTCAAACATGCTGACAGAGAGTCAAATGTGGGTAAAGTAATTTTAAAAAGTTTCTAATGCTTGTGTAGCTATCACACTGCCTTCACAGTCTCATATGGAAAAGCACTATGGTCTTGTCATCCTGGAAAGGTTGACATCCTTCATAGTTCATCCAGGCCATACCCCTGCCTTCTATGTTTTTAAAAATAGAAGAAATCAAAAATGCTCAACCTGAATTTTCTCAAATTATGAGCTTCACTATATATATGAATATATATGTACATATGTGTGTGTATGTATGTATGTATGTATGTATAGAAAAAATAAGTAACAAAAAACTGTAGAATGGGATCCAAGCTAATAGAGACAGAAGTTTGGAATAAGTGGCATTATCATTGAAAGCTTTCTCCAAGGCAGGTACAAGCCACATGGGGCCAGTGTAAAAGAAAAGGGATCCGAGATGCAATTTCATTTACATCCAAGCATACACTCCTTCCAGAGTATGTGGCACTATTCTTAGAGCAATCTGACAGGTAATCGTCGACAATGTAAATGATTAAAACATGTAAGAGCTGAAAGAAAAAGAGGGGCCAGACCATTCAAGTGCATGGAAAGAATTATTGGAAACCTGAAGATTAGTCCCTCAATTATCTCCCTGGAATTCCTCAAAGTTGAGAAGCAGTCTTCAGTAATCACCGAAGACCAACTAGTTCTCCAGACAATACAGACACCACATTATCAGAGGACTGGCTGATGTGGAAGATTTGTACATGTATTTGCTAAGCTTTGTTTTGTTAGAAAAGTGGGCAGTGTGCTGCCCTTAGAATACTAATTAAACTAAAATTAAAATGTTCAGGCAGCATTAAACACCCATGTTAAATTTTTTAAAATATGGACAAGATACGTGTTTCATCTTTAACTTCCTTTGAAATCCTCAAAGTTGGCTAAAACCTAAAGAAGAGTTCTGGATGAAATGACACCCATGAAGTTTTCAGTAAAATACAGCCTATAAAACGACAGCTTGCTTATTTCGAGTGCATCGTGTCTCAGTAACAAGTTATCTTGGAAGGGGAGAGCATTTCTTACTTTATTACAAGCCCCAAGCATTTTACCTGCTGCGTCTCTTCATATCTAAATATATCTATATACCGTGGCCAAAGGAAAAGGTAGCCACAGCATGTAGGTGCTGAATAATTCAAACCATCCAAACTCTCTGAACATCCCTGTGACCCACTGGGACATGCAGTTGAACAACTCAGAAAGTGGCCTCATTTCACCATCAGAAATAGTAAATCTTAGCCTGACTGGCCCATAGACACCAAGGCAACATACATGGAAAAGTAAAATGAAGATGGACCAATAAGGTTTTTTTAAATTTTGATTTGTATAATTATAAATAAAACTACAGCCACTTGCCTAAATGATTTATTTTCTCCTGAAAACATTTTAGGCCTATATCTTCCAAACTTCTTTAACCTCAACCCACAATAAGAAATAAATATTTCACCAGTCTAGCACTTGTAGGCAAAGGAAGTTAGAACCTACCCTAACTGAGTTATCACACACTCTGAGACACTAATCTTTCAGGGCTTCTTCCATTTTCAAAACTGAGACCTGGTAAACTGACTCCATCATCTACTAGATCATGAGAAGCAATTTGTAACAACTCTGCTTTCAGCCCCCAAGCTATTGAGAGCTCCTGGGGAAACGAAAAGATTTTTAACTGTTGGTCAACTGTTTTCTTTCTTTTAATCCAGAGTTATTCAAATAAGAAAATCTCAGAAAGAAAAAAAACTATCATAAAACACCCATTTGAAACACTTGCATAGACACTTACTTCCTTTCCCCCTAAGTAATAAGAGGCAAAATTCAAACAAAACAGCAAAAGTGTTATAGAAACTGAGCCAAATAAGAAAATCATTCTAAAACTAAATTTCCACCCAGAATTCTACCTGTGTACTTTGTTTTTTGTTGTTGTTGTTTTGTTTTGTTTTGTTTTTTTACCTTTAAGAATCCCTTGTAGGTTTTTTTTTTTTGCTTTTGTTTTGAAAAATATCTGAATATTTCTTGGAGCACAAGTTTAAGATGGGGTATTTTATGGTGAGATTCTTTGCCACAGAGATGATGGGCCATATTGAATAAAATGTGATCCCTCTTTATTTTCTCAGGCTCACTTTGTAATTATTAGCAAGGCAGTAAATAACCCGCCAAGGAGCAGCCTCATTAGTCCCCATTGAAATTCAGTGGCATTAATTTGCAATAAAAGAACTGAAAATTAAATGGAAAAAAATACTTTCGGGACTCCATCACAAGGTTACAGGATTCACATTTTACCAATACTGTCCTTAACATCAAGGAATTTTAAAAGTATGAATTAGACTTAATGGCTATATTTTGTTCCTCGGGCTTAGAGCAGAAAAAAAAAAAAGTAGTTGAGAGAATAAATTACTTTCCTCTTCCATCTCAACCCTGAATTAAAGCATGTCAGATTAATTTGAACCCAGCAACTTTTTAAAACTTTTGTTCACTGTTTGTTCTGAATGTGAAAACTGGGCCTGGACCCACTTCAATATCTGACGCTTTGGTTCCTGAAGGTGAGCTTGTATACACCGAGAAATCACCCTTCAGTATCCTCTGGGGCCAGTCTGCACCTTGGTCCCGTTTCTCCCGCTATAAATACATCTGGAAACAGAACACTGAGCAAAAAACGGTCCACGGCTTGTAACACAGAAGGTCTTGGCAGAAGCAGGAGCCAATTGCCGGGAGCCAGCCTACAGTGGGCTAGCTTTGCTTCAGCAGCATGTGGGCATCAGATAACTTTGTACCTGGCCGTGTATTACTGTCCCCTAGGCAACTCTACAGGTAGGTGTTTACCAGAACCACCCACCTAAGCTTTCTGCAGGCCCAGGAGGACAAAGAAGAAATGAGAGGAAAGGGACATCAAATAATAAAATAATTAATAATAATATAATAATAATCTCTTAGGAGAAACTAAAACCGAGGACACAAAACAAGAGTCACTTAGGTCACCGAGAGTCTGTCCTGGATTACCCCGTGTCCTGGACTGCCCTGGCTTCTTACACAGCGCCTGCCTGCGGGGCAGGATGGAGCTAACCAGCAGCATGCCACTCCAGAATTCTCTGCTGGCTGGGTCAGACATGAAACTTAGTTACAGGGGGTTACTGCACTGTTGCTTCTATGTGGTATGTTCTAAACACATGGGACACCTATAAATTCCCAGCTGTCAGAAGTCATATGCCAGCAATGTGCTCTAACTCAACTCAGCCAGAAATCAAAACTTGTTGAGACCCATTCCACTCCCATATCAGCTCTTCTGAGCAACCAATCCAGAAGCCTGGAATGGGGAAGGCAGGGAGAGAGACCCATAGGCACCTCCACCTAAAACCCCATCTTCTCCCGTTTACCTTGCATGTTTCCATTTCAAAACTCTAGATGAAACCACACTGAACCCGACACACCGAAATAATGACTAATCAATGCCCCCTGAGCTCCCCTAGCCCCAAACACCCCCATCTTTAAATAATAAAGGGGACCCTTGCACAAACCACCTGGGCCACCTGGGGTTACTCGCTCTGGGATGTTCTCCCCATAAATAACTTCTCTGGATTGTTTTCCCATGGTTGTGTAGTTAGGAAACACGGGCCTTTTGAATCTGTCTCTCCCACAGACAACTGCGGTTCGAGAATATTGTTGTCGCTGTTGTTATTGTTGTTGTTTTTAAGCTGAGAATGGAGCGAAGGCGGGAAGAAACCTTCCTGACTTCCCCGAGGGGTGGGAGGGGGCGATATGTGGCCAGTGAGGTTCCCCCCTCTCGCGCTCCCTCCCCGGGCCAGACCTGGCACAGCGGCCAACCCGACGTGGTGCGGGTACCTGTAGAAGGCTGGAGGGCCGGTGTCGCGCACGGCATAGGCGCTAGACTCATTCTCCAGGTAGTAGGGCACCTGCTGGCCATGCGGGTGCAAGAAGGGCGACAACTGCGGCGGCGGCGGGTGTAGTAGCATCAGCGGGCTGGGCGACACGCTGTTGAGCTGGGGGAAAGCCCCTAGGCTGTTGGAACCGAAGGCGGCCGCCTCGGACCCAGGGCCATAGGCGATGCCCGACTGGCCGTAGACCGGCGCCGAGGCGGCGGCGGCGTTGAACTCGTAGGCGGCGCCCTCGGGGTAGTTGAACACGGCGGGCTTGCTGCTGTCCACGTACACCTCGCCCAGGGCCCTCTCCAGGGGCATCTTGAGCTGCGGGCGGTTGAGGGGCTCCAGCTCGTTCCCTTGGATCTGGTGCAGCAAGGCCATTCCCGAGGCTTTGGTGTGGAGGGTCATGGTCATGGTCAGTG